AAAACTCTATTGAACTTAAAACAATTCAGGTACCTAATAGAAGATTTTTTACTAATTTTGCAACAATAGTTACCCTCATTTATAATTCACAGAGAATAAGATAAGTATAGAACGATAAATACTTAGCAAAAATACATGCCTCCGTGCATAAACTTGAAGAAGTGAAAGCTCGTAGGCAAACCATTCGGGCCATAAAATGTATTTGAAAAACCAAACGCGGCACACTGCTTTCCTTTCTTTTTGGGAGAAAAATGAGCTTTATCAAGATTTCGGCTAGGACTATCCATTTTCCTTAAAAATCGAGCAATTTTACTGCCCACGTACAAATTTCACTAAAAGCGCTCATAGAGATTTAACACGAGTCAACCCCAGCCTCGCTCTCACATGTGCGCGTTTGCATGTTCAATATGGTTCTAGGAACTGTAAAAAGGTCTATTCGGAGTTAGTTAATCAGTGTCAATCACCCAGTGGGAGTTAGTGTTAGCTAAATAGTGATCGAAGGAAAGTGAAGTGAGGAAAGTGAATATGCTGTAAATAGAAGTCAGCGGAAGTTACAGCCGCCGGGAAAGACCTAAAAGGAAGGTCTAGAGTCCATGGCGCATCCACTATACGCTCTTCAGCTAGTTTCCCCCAACCACGCTGCAAGTAACGGTTATGTTTTACATAGCATAGTAAACTGTAGCACTAATCCATCGAACCGCCATTTCTTTCAAACTTGTAACGATTACTAGCATAGAATAATCATCGTCGAGGCTTTCATACCACTTATTTATCACGAATATCAAATGGTTATAAATGTGAAGGCGAAGAGAATTCCGTGTTTTCGTGGCCCTTTTCTGCCAAGAGTAATTCTTCATACAGTTGTAATTAACTGTCAGACAAACCGATAAGGTATGTAACGAAAATCATCAGAAGGAAATATTGCCAAGATGTAACACCCAATTAAACAAAGAGGGTGAATAAGCTTTCAGATCTCCAGATTGAAAGTGTGAAAAAAAAAAAAAAAAAAAAAAAAAGAGAAAGACAATATTTACACATCACTGATGAAGTTTACGAAGCCGCATTCCTACCACAGAGTAAACGATGGCCTAAAGCTTAACTGGTTAGGTTACAGAAGGAGAAGTTGAAGTTCGCGGTTTTGGACAATTTTTCTTGCGGTATTTCGCTGATTTTAATCTCGAATTGCTGTATATTCCAAACCTGCGGGAGCGGCAGTGTTTTAATATTTTGGGCGGTAATAAAATTTATCATTCCTTCACTGTTTTCTGTTTTCCTCGATACATATGTCGATTTTTGTACTTGTTGTTTTTCAGTCTACAAAAATCCTTCTGACGTATTTTAGACTCATATGTTAGCTTAATGGTTATTATACCATTTCACATTTTACGCAGACGAAGGGAAAAATTATGTAGATCACACCTCTTGGGGTTGTAATTCAAAAAAGTTTTTGTTTTTGTCCTGTTTTGTTTTTTTCAATGTTTCCCCAACGTCATTGTAGAATTATTCCGCTGGTAAATCGATAGGAAGTACAATGTCCTTATTGTTAGTGGTGACATGTTCGTGGTAAACTTGACTTGTCAAGTGGCACATTTGTGCTGCACATAATTTCTCTGAATAAGCGTGCACGCATTAAAAAGCGCTCTTCCCCCGAATCAGCGTCCACCCATCAGGCCATTTCAACAAACAAGACCCTCTCTCGAAATGGTTCTGCTCCTCCCCCACTTTCCTAAATAGTAGGGATGCAAGGAAACCTGTTTTTATTCCCACCTTAACAACAGCGGGATCAGTAAAGGTTCAGTAATAGTTTCTTGATAAGTGCCCCCCTCGATTAAGCGCCCTGGTTCCAATAAGAGCCTCTCCTTTAAGCCGAAATTTTAAAAATGCCCTTAGGCGCTTATTCAAGGGAATTTGGCATGCTCAGTGTTTCATAAGCAGATGAAAATTTAATACAAATTCAAAAACGCAAGTGTAAACAGGTCGGTCACAGACTAGACAATTTGTAGCTTACAATACAATACAATACAAAGACTTTATTTAAACACGATAATTGTTAAAGCGACTACACGCTTGTGGGGTCGTGCGTAAAATGGAATAAAATGAAATGTAGTAAAATACAATAATTAAAGTAGCCTATCAAAATTAGAAGATCTAAAAATATTTAAAATTGGGGTCCTTAAAATTCACTGTCTGTGGAGAAATGGAATTAAAGTTCAAATTTAAAAGTGCCTTTGATTTGTAGGCTAACGAGGAGAGCTGCTTAATGGTTATATTTCTTAAATTTGATTCTTGGAGAAGTGTGTTAAAAACGATAGGTCCTCTTCTGGAAAAACTGTTTTTCATGTAATATGTATTGAATTTTGGTACTTTTATGTTGGCATTACTTCTTAGATTTTTCTTAGTATTCACGTCAACTTCTTCGGTGGTATCTAAGATGGATATAGGTAAAGTCTTCTTATCTATTTTGAACATCAGTTTAGCTAAATTAACTTTATATGTGGTTTCAATAGAAGACCATCGAGCTTTGCTTAGTACGTCAGACTTAGGCATATCCCATGGCCAGTTAAAAATTAATTTTGCCGCTCTACAGTGTAAAGACTCTAATGCAATTAGGCCCTCCTTATTAGTAAGGCCGCCCCAGATGGTGATACCATATATAATTGATGGGTAGATTACTTTAAAGTATAAGTCCAGTAGCATGGGTCTTGGTAAGAACAAGCTGCGCTTCAGCATGTTAAGCTTATTTGCAAAGCTGATCTTTAGTGCTTTGACATGGTAGTCCCAGTTAAGTCTATTATCAATATAGACTCCAAGCAGCCTGGTGTGTTTAACCCATCTTATACAATGATTCATCAGTATTAATGACTGTAGTGGACCAGTGAAGTTTCCTCGATGAATTAGCATGCCTTCGCATTTCTTGGGGTGAGGCAATAGTTGATTTCTTAAGCACCATAGCTCTAGTTCCTTGAGAGCAGCATTCAGTTCGGCAATAACAATGTCTACGGTGTCTCCGATACAGAACAGGGTGGTATCGTCTGCGTACATAAAAACAGTTGCATTTGTTATATTATCAGGTAGATCATTTGTGTAAAGTGCGAACAAGGTTGGACCGAGGACTGATCCCTGAGGAACGCCTGTATTAATGCGAGCAAAATCAGAGGCTGCGCCGTCAATGACTGTGAACTGTCGCCTCCCCTTTAAGTAGCTGTGAAGCCAAGCAGCCAGGTTGCCCTTGATCCCAAAGTCAATCTCGAGTTTATGCAGCAATATTTTATGCGATACACAGTCAAAGGCCTTTTGAAAATCGACAAAAACCACGCCGACAACTTTACTGTTATCAACCGCTTGTCTCCATTGTTCTGTCAGTTTTATAAGCATTAATTCAGTAGAAAAGCCTTTCCTATAAGCCCATTGGTTTTCAGTGACTAAACTGTGCTCGTGGAATGTATGGTTGACGATTCTCTGAGAGACCGTTGATTCAAGGATCTTGCTGGGTATACTGAGAATAGAAATTGGCCGATAGTTGCTCATGTCGCTCTCATCGTCCTTTTTGTGGATAGGGCTCAGCCTAGCCACTTTCCATTGTTCAAACACGTAGCCAGATCTTAGACTTTCACAATAAATATGGTATAATGGATGGACCAACGCATTCCCGGCAGTTTTTAGAGTTCTAGAAGAAATCTGGTCGGGACCGGTAGCTTTATTCCATTTAAGATCTGATAAATACTTTTCAATTTCGGATTTTGATAAAATAACGTCTTTGATAACAGGAACTGACTTTAATGTTGTGGCAGCGTTGACTTTTGTGAATGAAAAGTTCCTTGTTAGATTAATTCCTATATTAGAAAAGAAAGAATTCATCAGATTTGATTTTTCTTTACTATCGACTGCCAGAGAACCGTCTTCCCTCTTCAAGGGTCCAATAGCCTTTCTGAGTTTTGGTGCAGTGGCATTGCGAAGAAGATTCCAATACTCCGCAGCGGTTTTTATTTCAAGTAGTTGGTTCTTGAAATGTTTAGTTTTCGCCCGACGTACGTCGGTGGTGATTTCATTACGTAATCTTTTGTATTCCTTCCATTTGACCGGATCTTTTGTGCGAGTGGCTACTTTGAATAATTTAAACCGTTTGTTCATCTTTAATCTTATTTCGCTGTTAATCCATGGTGAACAGACGCTGCGAACCTTGACGTCTTTATAAGGGGCATGGACATCACAAACATCGTTGAACAAAAGATTCCAGCCCCAAAGGACGTCGTCTTTGTCTTCGAATATATCCAGTACGTGGAAAGGTATTCGTTCGATATCTTTCTTGAAATCTTGAATGTTACATCTCTTGAAGTTTCTTGAGCGGACAATCTTCGGAGGGGGTCTTTTGGATTTCAACTTCAAAGTGGCGTAAACTAAACTGTGATCAGATATGCCCAATGGCAGCACGCCGCATTGACGAACCATGTTTGCTTTAGTTGTAACAATAAGGTCAATTAGGGACTCCGTTGTGGATGTTATTCTAGTTGGTTGAGAGATAATGTTTTGCATATTGAAGTCTTCAAAGGTCTCTATCAGCTTCTTCGTTTTGCCCAAAGTAGGTATGCCGTCAGGGTCCCTATTTAATAAACAACAGTTAAAATCGCCAAGTATAAAGATGCTGTCAGTTTTAAGCCAAGCTTTTTCGAGGGCTCCACGAAAGCTTTAGGGTCAGAGGTCAAATCTAATATTCAAATTGTTTTCGTAGCTTGTTTATCTTAATTCATTTTAATATATAGTATTTGACATGTTTGTAAATTTCGTTTACCTTGCCACCCGGAGTCAACGCAAAGCGTATGAAAATTAAAATACCTTTCCTTTTTTCGAAGATCTCCGTCATAGAGTTTAAACTAAGAGCGTTTTGATCGATATTTTTGGCCAGTTTTTTTTTGCAAACTTTTTGTCGTTTCACGTGGTTCATGTGTTTCAAAGATGTGCATTTGTTATGAAAGCGTCGTAAATGATCACTGTAATTCACATTTGATGCAAAATAGCCTTTATTGTCCATATCAGGAGCTTAGTTGCCTGCCTTGTCTTCACAGTTTTGACTCAGCGTGTGCTTGGCAAATAGATCTAATTAATGATTACATTTTTCAGTTTTACATTTGAAGCTTCTAAATGACTAGTTGACAATTGTCACTGATCTGCTACAATACTATTATGTTTTTAAAAATCGATGTAATTTTCAAACTAGTCAAAAATCAGTTGAAGTTTAAGTGTCAGCTAATGCTAAAATTACAATTTAACGGCCGGTTTACTGACTTATTGACGAAACTCGGAAGCAAAAAAAGCAATCGGGGTTTTCACAATGTAGCTTAATTCCACGCTTTACAACTTTCTTTTTCTGTTGACAAGCATTTTTGGGAACATGAATTTCAATTCCGGCGGTACATTGTTGATTTTTCCATTTTTTCATTAGGGCTTCTTTTCGAACTTGGTCTGAAACATCTTGTCCCCAGATACCAGGCATACTTCTACGTAATTCTTCTTCGACTTTTGTGATATTGTGGCAGGGGACGATTTTCCTATAGCGGACGATGAGATGAAGTAATCCTTCGTCTGTTTGGGTAGATGTTGTTTTACTGTAACCCCGCTCGATCAGGGCTGCTCTGCTTAATTTTCTCTCTATTTCCTCTTGGTTAGCGGTGTAACTTCTGTCAAAAAATCGTATATCCACCTTTCTTTCTGCGGTTATACCTTTTGAGAATTTACAAAGAAAGGATTCTGTCTCAAAATTTTCATTAAGGAATTTCTAAAGGCATGCTTATAGGAGGTCATACTCACTCTACGTCTAACGAGAAAAAGCCAGATGAAATTTCTGTTTACAAGTGTTTCATGTCAAAATTATGGAATCGATAGCCTAACATTATTTGAATACCATATGACCCGTGAACAAGGTATCTAACGGGAATAAAAGTTGTTGCTCATAAGATAAAAATCTTTAATGTAGACAAAAATTCGTTATTTTTTTTATGCAAAAGCATCTAAGTTGATCGCTCGATCCACATAGGCGATGAAGTTACTTATGTCAGCCTAATAGAATACCCTACATCTTCTTGATCTACAAAACTTTACCCCATAGTAGTATGTCCTGATAAATATATCATCAAAAAAAAACATGTCCGCTTTTTTAGCCGAAGCCAAAGTGATCAGCCAAAAACCAAATGAGCAGCACATTGCGCCAATTTCGAAATGACGGCATTCAAACGTCCAGTGTCTCAGAATCTACAGTCTCACAATTTAAGTTTGAGTGTTACATATACCTTGCATCGTCAACGAAAATCTACCACGTATTACGATTAAGCCGAAATGATTGTAGAACCAAGCACTCTATTATGATCCAATTTAAGCTTTGAATATCTTAGAATCAAAAGTTTGGCAACTTAAGGTGTTAAATATATCCTACATCATGAACAAAAACATACCTTGTATTGCGGCTGAAGCCAAAATGATGACGAAAATGAGCAGCATGTTTCGCCCTCTTTGAAATGATGCCGTTCACTGCTTCAAGTGACTCAGAATTACGCTTCGACAACTTTCGATTCGTTTAAGTGCCACGTCGGTGTTTATGTATTTGAATATTTATCAGTAGGTACTCTATCCAATAATGTGATTGAGGAAGTAGCACAATAGGAAGTCTAGATTCTTTCAGTTGGAGCTCTACAAGCTGCTATTGGTAGACGTTATTAATGTTCCTCTTTGGTTTACGTTTGAAGTACGTGATGGTTCTAATAGGACGTCACTAAATGCTTGATGCCGAAAACTTGACACAGCCTGACCTAGCATTTAATTTGGAAGAAAGTATGTCGGTGATTGTGATCTATGGATATTCGTGAAGAGCTACTCAAACTATGGACAAGTGCAACACAACCTCTTCACAACAGTTACCTTTGAGACAGAATAGAGGGGCCGTTGTAGAGAAGTAGTCGTTTCGATAAGATATGGAGTGTAACCTTAACACCAAATATTCCTGAAGTTCAACACCTTTACAATCAGGGAAACGAAACTACAGAATAACGATAATACGTTGAGACTGAAACTAAAAAAAAAAAAAATAATAAATATATATATATATATCTATCTTAAATTTTTAGACCATAAATATCGATAGAACTAAACGAGTATGCAGGCTTGCACGATTTGCGCTTTCAGAGCTACAGTCATTTTAAATGTTCATTGTCAAGAGAAAGCTCTCCGGCAAGGGTTTTCTGTTGCCCTTGAAGAAAAGGTTACCTCTGTACAGAGCTATTCGTTGGCGATGCTTTCATTCAGCCTTCTATTCACTGATATAACTTTCGACATCACAGCGAACATGAAATTACAGTCGGTCAACCAATCGTCAATCGATGGATCAAATAATTAAATTAGAAGCGCGAAATGATAATTTACCCGCGTGACAGTTTGCCCGTCACACTTTCAATTATTACAAGTTATTAACAGTACTTATTTCCCTCACATTCATTGGCGTTCTTATGATCGTGAAATACGACAATGCAGCCAAACTTTCTCCGAGAAAAATCCCAGATTTCCTTAATTTCGTTTTCTTTTTCGCATTTCCTGTCCAAGAGAAGGAAAATTGACCATATTTAGCTTAAGACCGCATAACTACTTCTAGTCGTGAATTGACACGTCCGGTACAGAGTTCGCTTTCCTGTTTTTGTTGAAAAATACATTTTATTACAACGTAATTCTGAATGGGTTGGTTAAACAGACTTTGTTGAAGACGTAAGGCTAGATGTAAAGACAAACAAACAAACAGGCATATAAAATAAATAGAAAATGATACATAGGCGTGCGTACATGTGGAATTTCTTGTTCAACGTGTATGAAACTATTGCTAAATGAAAGGAAACGCATCTCCGCTCTGTGATCATAACAGGATATCCCACCGGTATGTCTCCGCTATTTTAAGCTTCAAGTTTGAAAAAATGTAATCTAATCTCCTTTTTATTATGAATTATGCTAAACCTAGTAAGAGAAAACGTCGTTAGAGTCGAAATAATTGCTTAAAAGGTGTACTTAACCAATATAAATGTGCTGCCAGAGTGTTTTTCACGTTCTGACCAAAATTTTCGCTTTCCGCTTTTCTCATGGAGGCCGGAAGACAGTTCGTCAAACCAGAAACGGAATTGCGCCTGTCGAATCTTCCAGATATGAGAAATTCCTCAATCCCTCTTACTGACTATTATATTATAGGCAAGAGATCTTAGGAAGTTCTACTAAGCTTTTCCAATTGAACGCTAGACTATGAGCAGTTCCTCCTTTTCGGCGAAGTCCGTCACAGTGAAAAAAAAGTTGTTGTTAACGCGCGTGAGTGAGGCGCTCGAGCCCCTCGCTCACGGAGCTCCCGCGGCGCGTCGATTTCCCTCTTAGAACTCTCCGCGGCGCGCTAACGTCAACATTTTTCCGCTGTTTTTTTTTCTTTTTTTGACTCGCACCACGGCTGCTCGTAGTCTAATCGAACGCAGGGTGTTATTGTTGCTCAATCCCTAGATGGCTTTTCATATTAAATCTTTAGGGTTACGGGTATTAAAAACTAATTCTTAAATAACAAAACAGTCGATTTTGTACGGTCTCGGTTGAATGTTTGTGATAGATTTTTAGAAGAATCGGATGATTTCAGTATTTATTCTCCCGTAATCATGCACCTCACCAAGTCTTATGACCCCATCCCTCCCCACCCCGTTTCATCGAGCTCTTCGCTTCCTCACCGTAGTATACAAGGCCGTCACTTGATCGTCGCGCTGCGTGTTAATGTTCTCCCAAAATATGCCCTTGTTGTTTGGATACTCTGTTGAATCCGTTGAAAAAGCAAAGGAAGAACTTCGGAAGAGTGTGATAAGAGTTTACGGAAAAAAGAGGGCTTTCGTGCCTTACGATTTACAGACAACTTAATTGTAGATAGGTATGCGTTCAGATATAGTGCATGTCTCTTCTATCACTAAGTTGGAATTCATGAAGTCTGTGTGCTTTGTGCTTTCGATGTTAATTTTTCTGATTCAAGCTGTTATTTTTGTTGTTGCGATTGGCGAAGGCGTTGACGTGATTTGACCATGAAACTCAACACAATGGCGATTATTTCGATTCATTCATGATTTCGGTCAAAAGCTAAAGGTCGAAACTTGACCTCTTCAAATGTTCAAAATAACGCAGACACGGATTTATCCTCTGAGCGGGTTATGAGGCATGCATTAAAACAAACGGTGGAATAGTGTATTTAACTAAGAACATTGTATCAGTAGGTTTCTTGTAAACGATATCATCACAGATTATTATGAAATGAGTCAAATCCAATCTTTTAGGATTTAGCACTTCCTATTAGAAATGTAACTTAAAGATAATTATTTTAATTCATCACTGGATCATTTTTTTTCATTTCTCTTTTGTTGTTGTTGTCGTCGTTAATTTTCCTTTTTTTTTGTGGCTCTCAGCTCTCAAGTTGGTCCCGTGTGAAGGCAGCATCCCCTATTTGATAATCTACTCCCCCCCTCTCTGTTTGACTTTTTCCATTGCCTGTCCGTTTAGCATTGAATCAAATGTTGTTAAACAAAAGTAATTAACAAGTAACCTCTCCTCGTAATATCTAAACATCATCCAGCAAAGAGGTCATAAGAATACTTAAACTTATCAGTTACAAGCTGTTATCTTGATCTAATACCATATTCACACAACTAATTTACAAGGAAATATGTAGCAGCTGGAGAGGAGAATTATCAATCAGATCTTGGGAGTTAAAAGGTTAACAGAATCTACGTATCGATGACTCTGGAGGGTGAAAATATGAATCATAATTCATTGTTAAAGGGATTATGGCAGATGATGGACAACGGGCAGGGGGAGTTTACCAAGGTGAAGGTTCAGGGGCTTGAAATGAGTATCCCATCACTAGATTTGTAAACCTTCAAACAAACCTTTCCATGATTTCTCCTCAAGTGAAACATACGTTTGATGTAGATCTTGTATTGAGACGAAATACTTTGGTTGCTTGAGAAGATCCGTTCACTTGAGATTTGCAACGACTTGTTTTTGTACAACCATCCTGGTCTTGGGAAAATCGTGTCATGGACACTTGAAAGAAGGCTGTTGCAAGAGGGATGGTACTAAGAAAGGTTGCGGTTTAATCATGAGTTATTCTCTCTGAGCTCATCAATAGTCGCTCATCGAGCCTAAGAGACAGTGTCACTCAAGTTCAAGCCGTTTCGTCTCTGATCGATCCATAGCAGATTTTGCTCATAATAAGGACTAAAACCCTAATGTTTTCTTCAATTGCCGTAGTTACGAGTATAAAAACCCAACGCGTATAACAATGGCTGTTTGTAAAAGCTATAATTTTTACGGATGAAAACAGACCATTTGAATAACTAGAAAATATCGAAAAATAATGGCGTTAAATTGGATGACCACAACAAACAAAAAAAGTTATTTTTACTGAGAAAAAATGTGTTTTTAGATACAATTGCTCAGATTCTTCGTTTTCCTTGCAACATCTACACCTTTGATGGTCTTTAACCACCATCTTGGAAACACGTGAAACGTGTTTTCATGACTTGGCACTGTCATGACATTGAATAGAACTATGGGTAAACAGTAGACTTTAAGAAAAGCAACAAACTCTTACAGACAAAGCAGTGGCCGCAATATTGTTTCGTTGCGTTAGATAGGTTAGCAGGTTTTAACTTGAAATTGGCGCACTTTTCAATGGTTTGATTTGCTTTTAGTTAATCTTCTCATCCAATTGTCTATGCATGACCACGAACATTTTAGGGAACTACTGCGCCTATAAAAGATACACACGAGGGACTTTCAGGGTACACGTTAGTAATTAAAGAAATCTCGAAAATGTCACAACGAAATAATAGCTGAGTTCAACTCAGCAGCAGATGAAGTACATTTATTTAACCAAACGACTCTTTTAAACGATCTTTAGATATCAATTTTAAAAATAACGTGAAGTTTGAGTAAGCACTTAGCGTTCTGTTTATTACGGTGCTTTTAATAAAATTCCCGCCTTTTTTGCGCCGTATTTCATAGACATGTACGGTTCAAATTATGAAACAGAACTCTCTGTTCGATCACAAAGGGCACTCCTAATTAGGCGCTTAACTGAGCTTAAAGAAGCCGTATCCTCTTGTGTACCATTTGCTGAACAGAATTTACTCTGTTTTTCTGCCTCTTGTTTTGATGAAAATATTACGTGCGTGATAACATGAAGGTGGTCCATCATCAAACATCTTTTACCTCAAAGTTAATACCAAGCGGATTACCATCATAAAAGGACTTCCTTCACCCAATAAGAGCCGTGCAGTGCATGTGCACAGAATTTATGAACCAAATCTCCTTTGTCAGATAGAAGAGAATTTAATATGGGAACCAAAGTTAGTGTCAATGAAGTTGAATAATTCTATAGGATGGTGTTTACACTGAAACAAGTGACGAGATTATTAGCACCCATTAAAGCTCTAGGTTGGTATTAGGTGATGTTTTAAATTCATTCTTTGGCGACACGTACAAAAGTGCAATTCGCCATGTGTTAGATATATTGTGAAATGCACTTGTAAAACTCGTAGCTATAGCTACCATCCAGCTCCCGGCGTCCAAATGACTTAAAATAAATGGATTTTAGACAATACTGAGACAAAACGAAGGCCAAAAGATCTGTGTTGTATATTGAATGAGTACTTATTGGTTTTGTTCAGCCTCCGGGGTGTAATCAGGTACCATTTATCACCAAAGATCAAATAAAAAAGAA